TGACTGCTGTCACTGCAAAGTCCCTTGTTTTACAGGTTCTAAGGTAGCCCATCCAGCTCAGCTTGGAGACTGTCTCAAGCTGTTCTGGAGGGAGGGGGTGAGGAACCAATGAGGACAGAGCTATTTTTGGGTAGCCCAAGGTCTATATCTCAGGGTCAACTTAAAATCAGCCATGCCTCTTGTGTTAGTCCATTTTCATGCTGCTGATGAACGCATACCTGAAACTGGGCAATTTACAAAAGAAAGAGGTTTACTGGACTTACAATTCCACATGCCTGGGGAGGCCTCACAATCACAGTGGAAGGTGAAAGGCCGTCTCCCATGGTAGCTGACAAGAGAAGAAAGCTTGTGCTGGGAAACTCCCTTTTTCAAAACCACCAGATCTCCTGAGACTATCACGAGAACAGCATGGGAAAGACCTGCCCCAGGATTCCATTACCTCCCACTGGGTCCCTTCCATGACATGTGGGAATTCAAGATGAGATTTGGGTGGGGACACAGCCAAACCATATCACCTCTGGAGCCCCTAGAAACCCCAGGTAAGTCATTTAGGGCAACTGCTCTGAGCTGGGGAAGGGAGGCTCTGAAGGCCCTTACCTGATGACTCAGTCACTGCAGCACCAGCCAACTTAGTCATTTTTATTCTCCCATTCACCAGCAAGGCCATTCCTTCATACATTATTTCTAGGGGGTACCTTGCATCCTCAGTGATTATATACTTAGTGGTTATAATTTTATCAGCCAAAGATGAAATTCTCAACCTATAATCATTTTTATCTGTTTGGTAAAAGTAGGGAAAATGGTATAATGAGGGCTAAAATGCTCTTCTGGTCCCCAAGCAGTCAATCTGTTTTACATACAGTAAATGGTGTGAAATGCACTTTTGTGCACTGAAATTGGAGAAGTACTTTGGTGCCTATAAACCACTGGGGACCTGTTAAAATGTAGATTCTGATCATTTGGTTTAGGGAGCAGGAGTCTGAATTTGTAGATGCTCCCAGGTGCTGTGGGCCCTGAGTGCATACCCTGAAGCGCAGAGAGTTTGGCCTTGGTTGCTCCTCTGTAACGAGACTCTGAAGACCTTGTTCAATTGCATTAATGATTATCTGCTACTAGGGATACGCAAGATAGATTTAATTGTTGAGGGAGAGGATCTTGCAAAGAGACAAGGGCAGAGGCAGACAATAACTTGCAAGAATCTCAAATATCACGAATCTCTTAAGTTACACACTTTTGTATTTTTGCTTTGAGAATTTCCATCCAGGCACTACAAAAGTTATCTAAGGAGGCAATAGAATGAGAGAAAGAAACAGTAATTTCACAACTTCCTGGCAGAAACTGTCACTGGAGGTGGCTGAACAGCGTTTTTCAAAATACTTAGAGAAGGGACCCAGTTTCGCATCCAGTGAGCCACATACCAGAAGTGTTGTTCCTAGATTTTGGGTGGGTGCATCCCAGATTCCAAGAGTCTCTTTAAGGCCCATGATAACATTGATTTTATGACACTACTCTCTTCCCAAGCAGCAGTATGTATTATAACCAAATTTAGTGATTTCTATTAGCAACACTTTCATTTTTCTATAGTATAAATTACATATCCAAATCTGCCAATTCATCTCTAACATCTGATCAAGATGTCAAGATCATTCTCTCTCTGTCCCTAAATACCACAGAAGAAAAAAAATGTTAGCACAGACACATCCAATGCAGACCTGTAAAAAGAACTTACCCAGATTCAGTACTATTCACAAGGACTCCTTGGTGACACTTCTTGGTTGTGTGGGAATCTTGAGCTTTGTGTACGAGGTCACAGCATTCAATGCAGTGGGACATGTCTTCAGATTGACAAAGGCCCCAAAGTCTCTATCTCTATTAGCAAATGCTTTCCTTTACATGATTCAAGGGAAAAAAAAGACCTAAGTGATATCATTAAGCAGCAGGCATTTGTGTTTATGTGCGCCACTGATGACAGTATAAACAAGCTTCTCTTTTTGTTTCAATCCACAAGTATTTATTGGTTCTGACATTCCAGACAAAGCACTGCTCAAGGCACTGTGAGGAGAGAGAAACAGTCATGGTCTCTGCCCTCATGAAGCTTACAATCTAAAGACAAAAACATTCTCTCATTGCAGCATAACCAGCAATTCCAAGTGGTACGTGGAAACTGTGTAGATGCGGTTGTATCTGCTACAGGATTCGGATAGGGGCTGGATGAGGAGGATCTGGATATGGGCCAAGAGAGAGGAAAGGGCTGTTCTATGTAAAAGCACAGCACAGAGTATCACAAGATCAGGAACACTCACAGCCTGAGCAGTGAGACTAGTTACCAGCCTCTGTGATGGATAAATGGGGCTGAGGTCCAAAGGCTGGTTAGAGTCCACTTTTGAGGCTAATGACTTTGACCTTTATCTTTTGGCAGCAGAAAGCCAATAAAAGGTATTTGCGGTGATGAGTGGCACCATGAAAGTGAATTTTGGAAGACAAAGCTGGCAGAGTTATGTAGAATTGAGTGAGGAGGTATTATAAGTATCGGATAGAGCAAATAAGTGAGATATTGAGACTCTCTAAGCTCAGAGTTTGTGATTCTAAAATGAAATACTAGCAGCCATGAAAAAAAAAAGAGTAGGAGACGAAACTTAGGGAATGACTGCAATGATTCATGGAAAGGGAAAGGAAGAAACAACAGGGTTTTTTTTTTTTTTTAAACGACTAATTGAATAGTATTCCTTACCGAATACTAAATCTCTCAAGAAAAACTAAGACTGGGAACAAGGAGGCCAGGTTGCCAGCTACCCCTTTCCTGTCCTGCCTTGCAGTCCAACTTTTAGGGTAGGGGGAGGTGGTCTTTCTCATCCCTTTAGCTTACTTACTCCCCAGGCAGCAGAACATGTGCCAAATATGTAGACTGGCTCTAGTTTTCCTCAAACTAGTTATTTACTGCAGCAGGCAATTTAAAAAGATGGAGGAGGTTTGCACAATTATGTACAACTTTGGAATCACAGGCAATACATTCCGAGTCATTAAAAGGAAGCAAGTTTAACTACTCCCTCCTCTTCAGAACCAAGTAAAGATTCTGCATAAAGAGGTCTCTTAGGTTGACTGATCACACCAAACTGTGGGAACCAAGGGCTTAACAGGCAATCAGGGAACTACTATTAAATAAACCAAATTCAAAAATCAGTTCTAAGTGCTTATTCCCTATTAGAGATCATTAGTTTAATATACTTGCTCACTTGCTTTTGTCCTTCTCAATCCAATTCCCATTTGTTGGCATAACTTTAGGGATTCCTTATTGCAGAGGAAAAAACAAAATGGACATTCCAAACAATAAAGACTTGTTACAGGCAGGTCTACTAACTGAAAATAGTTATAACAATTTCCAGAACATCTTCATTGTTGTGCTAAAATAACTGGTGTACATTCATGACTTAAATGGCCTTTCTCACATCACTAAGACGTTCCACTCCATAAATAAAGAAGACGAGCATATCACAAGTTTGCCACCCAAAATCTAATCCTGTGTCTTTGTATCTCACAAGTCAAACAGAGCAAGGAAGTACTACTAGAGGACTCACGTGATATAAAAAAATACTTCCATATACAGTGATTGGACTCTTAATACAACTACTATTGGAAAAAATACTTTGGTGAAACACTGACATTTAATGAGCACCAACTGTGAGCCTTTGGGGTTGGAAAGGGGAGATGGGGAGAGGGTGGAAAGGTATCCGAGACTCAGGCCTCATCACAGAGTCATTCAGAATCCGTGTTCTCATGTAGAAGGCACACCTCTGTGGTCTGTGCACGGATAATAATCAGGGAAGGTGTAAGTGTCCCAGCAGAATTACCATATGCTATAAAAGTGGCATGCAACAAAGAAGTTACTTCTAATTAAGGTAACAGGAGTCAAACTTGCAGAATTTGGGAGGGAGGAATAACATTTCACTTGAATATTTTAATTTAAACACATTTAAAGCTTCCAGACTCACAGGTACAATTTATATTATAAACAAGATGTAGTTTTACATCAGTTATAAATTAACTAAAGGGGCTCAGGTATTACTGGGTCAGCCAGGAGGCTGAAGAGCTCCTAAGGCTCCAGTGGTTTTCTTAGCCCACTTATATGCAAGTGCCAAGGCCTCTTCCGGGGAAATTCAGATCGGATCTGGATACAAAACTGTGTAGTCAGTATGCCCCAAATGGGCTGAATATATAAAGAGAAAAATTGAGAAGACAATACCACCAAAATGTTAATCCTAGGTACCTCTAAGGGTAGGGATACAGGTGGCTTTAAAATTGTGTGCCTATTTATTTGTATTTCTGTTTATATTGTGAATTTTCTCAATGGACACATAGTATTTATTTTGAAGTCTGTTTTTCTGACTGCATATTTCTTATTATTATATAAATACATCTTCCTGATTGTAAAGGTAACACACACACCCCCATATATACATTTTTCAAAGACAGGAATATACAATTGTAAAAAAGAAGAAACCAAAATCCCATGTATTCCCCTCCCAAAGATAGTCCCTGCTAACATTTGGGTATATTTCTTTCCAGATGTTTGCTTTATGCATATGGAAGGCATATCTGTTATATGTATAATCAGAAAAGTATATAAACTGTAGATTAAAAAAGGAAGATCTTTTCCTGCTTCTTTCTCTTTTTTTTTTTTTTTGACAGAGTCTTGCTCTGGCAGTCAGGCTGGAGTGCAGTGGCACAATCTCAGCTCACTGCAAGTTTCCTGGGTTCAAGCAATTCTCCTGCCTCAGCCTCCTGAGTAGCTGAGATTACAGGCATGTGCAACCATGTTCGGCTAAGTTTTGAATTTTTAGTAGAGATGGGGTTTCACCATGTTGGCCAAGCTGGTCTCGAATCCTGACCTCAGGTGATCCACCTGCCTCTGCCTCCCAAAGTGCTGGGATTACAGGCATGAGCCCCCGTGCCCAGCCCCTGCTTCTCCCTTTTAAAATATCTCTGTGACAGTAAGATATCAGTGATCTTTTGACTTTGTCCTTTTATTCGTGGAATACAAGCACCAGGAAAAAACTCGAATGACTCAGACAGACAACCTGTGGATTTTAACGCTGTGGGGCCCAAGGGCGTGTTTTGGACATTTGGCTATGACAAGTGGCTGGTACAGTGGCCAATTAAGAGGCACTTTGATGAGGAAAAACATACTTTCTGCAAGATAGATCTCTAGTGACCGGTCCACCGAACGCCTTCACTCTACTCTGTATGTGGCATCTGCTGCTACTTTGCTGATTCATAAATGACAAGTCCTGTCTCCTGGGCACACAAGCTGCCACTGAGTGGTGGCTGGGAACCTACACTGCTGGTGTCATGTGATACTAATGGTGTGTGTAGGGGTCTTCCCACTTGAGGTCTTTCTTATCCTTCTTCCATAAGACTTTCTATAAAGGCAGAGCAATACCAGAGCAAAGCAAAGGCCCTGCAAACAGTAGTCAGACACAGGGGCCAGAGGAGCCGAGGAGCTGAGGCACCAGGGTGGGGGAGAGTAGGACAACACGCGGCCAAGGCAGCCACATCCTGTTCCTGGACAGCTGCAGTGGCGACGCGCTGGGAGGATGGGGAGATGGCTCTGCACCCACTGCCAAGTCAAACACAGGGCACTCCCGGCAGGATGAGGGACTCATCTTCCTGCCTGAGAAGAGTGAAACCTTCTGAGAGTAAAACCTCCTGGTGAAGGTCACAGTTTTCAAAAGCAGGGCGAGGCAGAGGCATTGCTCAGTCAGCGGTGAGAGAGGGGAGTGTGGAACTGGTCCCTTCGTGGAGGAAGTGACCTGTGTGAGCCCACGCCCACCAAGATGTGAGCTGAATCAGAGGGGTCATGGAAGGACCGTCCCAGGCAGACGTGAGTGACCCAGGGCAATACTGGTACACTCTGCTTTGGTTTAAAATGAATTAGGGGCTTGCGGAATGAACCAAATGGACAATAATTACATGAAAAAACCATGTCTTCCCAAGATGCCACCTCACTGGCCATCGAATCTGTGAAGCCGCCGTCTCCTCATTTCTTCTTCTGCTGAGAGACGAAACCCATAGGGTGGTGGGCTATTTCTGGTATTTCCTGTAGTGAGAAATTCAAAGGAAAAATCAATCATTCTGACATTACAAGGCATGTGTACTCTAGGATTCCAAGGGAACAAAATGATAGCTTGGGTGTCATCTTTATTTTAACACAAAACAGAAATATAACAAACATATTTCAACTTCAGTTATCAGTACTAAATTTCAACATCAAGTAAACATTTTTAGAGTGGTTCAGCCATGAACCTGATTCGACTCATTTTGAGGCTTCTTGATAATCCTCCCACTTGTATTTTTCCTTCTACCGTGATTGATAATTTGCATCATTCAGGCTTACACAGTTTCTCAAGGGCTTGTCTTATTTTTTTATGCCCATATATAACTTGTTGCCACCTCTACTAACTTCCCCACCAATAAGGCTGGTTGGCTTCTCCTGATCAGCCTTTGGGTGCTCCTTTTCTTTCCTTTAATATGCTACCTCCTGCACCAAGGTGGCCAATCAGAATCATACGTGACTGAAAGACACAAGCACCCAAAAGGCACGCTGGGCCACAGAGCTGGAGCAGAGTTATCATACTGATCAATACCTGGGCAGGCAAACAAAAATGCAGGCATCGTATTTCAAGATCATCGGAAGGACTGTGGAAATAGTTACTGAAAAGGGTTTCTTGGTGATGCAAACTTACCAAAAATACAGTTTGTAATGATACAAGAATTTCAATCGCTACGTAAGGAAACATTCTCCCAGGCATCATGAGTAGTAATAAAGGGAGAAAAATATATAGTCCTTGATCTCAAGGAACCAGCAAACTAAAGCTAATGAAAGCGCTTCAATATTCCCCATGAGGTAACCAGGAAGATGCATCATTGATAGAAACGGGTAAGTAGAGGTTCACTTCTAAACATGGGGACCAAAAAGGCTGTACCTTTTCACTACTATAGCTCTGCTAACACTGTTAATTTGCCTTGAAAGGCTCTCTCCCATCACCTACTTCAACCAGAAGTCTTACTCATTCTTGTAATGCTAGGCCACCCCTGATGGAACCAATGGAAGAACTCTCCCAATTCAAACTCCTCAGCTTTCAGCACCTTCCATTTGGTTGTCTTCGTTCAACCATCACCATATCCTGCCAGATGTGTACGTATTTGTGCACCATTCTTCTCTCTCCTATCAGGATCATAAGCTGTAAAATAGCAGGGGACCTCTCTGACACATCTCCCTCTCCCCAATGTCTGGGACAGTTCTGAACACACAGGAGCTGTTCAATAAATGGATGGCCTTGACTCAACAGCACCTGCTATGACTTCTAATGCTGCCCAGTCAGGTTCTGACATGACCCACTCGGGGCCAAATGTTCTGACAGCACTGGCCTGGCTGGGAAGGGAGGGTGGGCAAGGCACAGTTAAGCCAAGAGGGAAAGCAAGTGAACAGTCAATCCCTCTTGCTCACTGCCCAAGAGTGGCACCTTTTCAGAGATGTGTTCATTTATGCCTATGCTGACATGACAACGTTAAAACTATAGTGAAAGATGTTAGAGAAAGCAATGGGAAACAGAGTCCGTCTTTTCCATCTACAACTGAAGTTTATGTTGTCAAAGAGAAATTCAAAAAAGTAGTCAAAGCCAACCCCTTTTTTATATTTTTGCTTCTCTACTGATGAAGATGCCAATGGTTTCCCATAACTGATTCTCCTTTCCCGTTGGAAGCATGGGAGAATTATACCTCCCCAACCCATTGTACCCTTCCTGACTAGAACACCCCAAAATAAACAAGGCAGGCCTAGCCCCCAGACTCACTTCTGCTGGATAAATCCCTGCTTCAAGGCATTTTGATACAGTGAAAAATAGGCCAATTTATTAACTTTCATTAAAGGTGATACTCAAGCATATTATAGGCTTATAAAACTTTTACCATAAAGATTTTATGAATACTGTAAGATTAAAAGTTAAAAACCCAGATACCGTTTTAGCCATATGTATTTGTAAAGGAATTTCTCTTTGTTCAAAATGGTAAATGCTTTGAGATGACAAATTCATGAATCAAATCACCATTAGCTGATTGCTTAAAACTGTTTTATATGATGAGATCCAAATCCTACTTTGCCTTTAACAGTTGTTTTTAAAAAGACTGGTCTTAATTGCGCTTGTGAGTGCAGGCCAGGACTTGACACCTCATTCCAGATGGACTGGGAACTCTCTTAGAGCTAGCTAAGGGCAGAGTCAGAAGCAAGCTCAACGTGGCACCCTGACTCAGGGCCACAGGGCAGAAACCCACAGAGGCTGAAAGACTGCTCAGACTCCCAGAGGGAAACACACTGTCCTCTGGTGTTTTCTTTAGCGTTTCTTCAAAAGAAAAAACCCGAGGATTAATAATTTCCATGAAGGCAACAGCATGGAGGAATTAGGAGAGGGAGACTGGGAAGGTGCCCAAGGTCCAGCTCTCAAATGAGCTGCCAGCACACATGGCCTTGGACCCATTTGCAGGGCATTCGAGGAGAACCAGGGCTGAGCCAACCGAAGAAATGCCACATGCTGAAGTAGAAAACTGATGTCAGGAGAAGAACAATCATCACACTCTTCTTTATAAAGCCCTTTCACGGTGCCCTTCTCCACTTCGATGATCCCTTCCCAACAGAATCATCTCAGTTTTACAGATGAGGAAACAGAGGCTCAGAGAGTGTTAGGGACACATCTGAGGGCACCAAGCTAGCATGAAGAAAAGCGAACCTGCTCAGTTTCTTCCCACTTCCCCACATGGCCATCAGTTCTCACACCGAATGTGTTCAGGGTTGCACATCTCACCATCCCCCACCTTCCTGACCAAACCCAGTGACCCTTTTCTTCATGGATATGGAAATGTAGGAAGCTCACTGCTATTTGAAAATAGAAAAATAAGAAGGTCCAGTCCAAGTCCTCAATTCTGTGGGACTCTGATGATATCAAAGATGTGACTCAAAAGTTTCCAACATGGGTTTCCTTAAATTCTACTGGCTACTAGCATGGTTTGGTTTTCTAGGAGAACCAAGAAGGCCTTGGATATAACAATGCAACAACCAAAACCACAATAATGCCTGTTTGTAATCATGCCTTTTTTTTCTTTTTTGAGACTGAGTCTCACTCTGTTGCCCAGGCTGGAATACAGTGGCGTGATCTCTGCTCACTGCAACCTCCGCCTCCTGGGTTCAAGTAATTCTCCTGCATCAGCCTCCTGAGTAGCTGGGATTACAGGTGCATTTCACCATGACTGGCTAATTTTTGTATTTTTAGTAGAGATGGGGTTTCACCATGTTGGTCAGCGTGGTCTTGAACTCCTGACCTCGTGATCTGACTGCCTTGGCCTCCCAAAGTGGTGGAATTACAGGCATGAGCCACCATGCCCAGCCTCCATGCCTGCTCTTAAGGCTATTTTAATTCCTTCAAACTCCGTGTTTTTGATATGAAAGCCATCTTACTCTCTGAAGAACAGCTGGTTTGTTTCCAGCTCTGAAAACCACACTGTTCTGAATATGACTTGATTTGGGGGAATGTTTTTAAGCACTAAAACTTATTTCAAAGAGAGTCACAAACTTGATGTCAGTTAGCCACTAACCCACAGACTACTGTGTGTGTGCTCTGGGTTGGAGCCACAGTCGGGACAAGACTTCCTGGCTGTCCACTCAGTCTCAGGCATGCTCTGTCTTCCACTTCCCCACCTTTGCTTTCATTTGTCTGTTTCTATACTTTCCACTTGTGTCATACAATCTATTTCCTCTCTTTTTCATCTCCAGCATCCTCTGCAGGCTTTCTCAAAGGGTCTTATCTTTGTGATTCTGCTATGTACTTAATATTTGTTAAGCACAGAGGAAAGAATCAGGACAAGCCTCATTGGGGTGGTAGAAGGAGGTGTTCCCACGAGTATAAAGGAAAAAGTGTTAGTAGGGAATTAGGAGATGGCTTCCTACCTCTGCCTGGGGTTCGTGGAGACACCCTACACAAGATGCTTCATTTCAGCAGTCTCCAGTTGACTCATCTGTGAGGGGAGGCTACTGAAAAAGGGGACTTCCAGGGTCCTTTCCATGACTCTGAAGTTTGACAACCTGTGATTAAATCCCAACTCCCCCACTTTTTAGCAACACATCCTTGAGCAAGTAGGTTACCCTCCTTGCTCTTAGTTTCCTTATCTATAAAATGGGAATATTAAGAGTAGCTCCTTTGTTGGGTTGTTGAAGGATTAGAAGAGATAATGCATATAAAATGATTAGCTGAGTACCACGTGACAGCAAATGCCTGCTGAGCACTGGACGGTATGATTGTTGTCTCGATCATCATCAAGAATCACGTGCCAGCCGGGCGCGGTGATGTGTGCCTGTAATCTCAGCTACTCGGGAGGCTGAGGTGGGAGGATCGCTTGAGCCTGGGAGTTCTGGGCTGCAGGGCCTATGCTGATTGGGTGTCCACACTACGTTCGGCATCAATATGGTGACCTCCTGGGAGCAGGGGATCACCAGGTTGCCTAAGGAGGGGTGAACTGGCCGAGGTTGGAAACGGAGCAGGTCAAAACTCCTATGCTGATCAGTAGTGGGATCATGCCTGTGAATAGCCACTGCACTCCAGCCTGGGCAAATAGCAAGACCCTGTCTCAAAAAAGAAAAAAAATAAATAATCACGTGCTAAATGTCTACTTCTTTTTATCATTAACTAACTCTATAACAGGTATACAAAATTTCAAAAACAGTGACTTCTTAAAATACAGAGCTCAATTCTGTTTGCAAACCCTTTGGCAGTGCTTTGTACAAAATGTTGAGTTGCTAGTAACTAAATATCTGTCTTCTAAGAAATAGATATAAAAAAGGTAACTGATGACCTTCATTAAGCAGCAGGCTTTTGTCACATGAAGGAGACTTTGGGTGACTGACAGAGCTGGAGTGCCCAGCCAAGATCTTCTTTTCTCTGCTTAGTTAAATCATGCATTGGACATTTACAGGTCTGGGGGAAACGGCCCTGCTCTGAAGAACCTGGTACAGAATATGAGTATTTATGAGCCTTGCCTCCATGTTCTTGT